AAAAAAAAAAAATTAAATCTCACTAGTAATCAGAGAAATGAAAAATGAGCATTTTTTTGTCCATCAAATTATCAAAGATTTTCAAAGGTAAAATTCTCAGTAGTGTTGGGTGTATGGAGCAAGTAGCACTCTTTTTGCCTCGCTGGAGGATGTAGGCTTTCAGAAATGCAATTTGGTAATACTGTATTAATCGCCCAGATGCATGAGTAATCCTGTGTACTTATTATGTGCCAAACACTGTTCTGGGTGCTCAGGGTACAGCAGTGAACAAAATCAACAGAGTTCCTGCCCTTTATCCTTTGGGGAAGACAGTCAGCATAACATAGTCTATTGTAGTAGGTTCTACAGCAGTAAGTGCTGAGGAAGAAAATAAAACAGGGAGGAAGAATACAGAGAATTGGGAGAGGAGGGTTGTAGTTTTAAGGTAGAATAGCCAAGAAGGGTCTCATTAATAAGATGATGCTTGATTAAACACCTAAGGGAGGTGAGATTATCTTTTAGGAATCTATCCTAAGGGAATAGGAACTCAAATAAAGAGTTACAAGGATAGTTAAGTATTATTCATAAGAGCAAAAATTGGGAAAAAATAAATATCTAACAGTAGGCTAATTATTAGTATAATCCCAAACAGGGAATATCATATAGCCATGTAAAATGGCAATTTCAAGAATACTTAAGGATGGGATCGTTTTCATAACATAATGTTAAAACGCAAGCAGGATGCAGAATTGTTTATATAATTTAAACACTGATCCCAGTTTTATAATATACAAATATCTGTATATGCAAAGGAAAAACTGGAAATAAGTACATCAAAACAATAGTAGTGATTATATCNTAATGTTAAAACGCAAGCAGGATGCAGAATTGTTTATATAATTTAAACACTGATCCCAGTTTTATAATATACAAATATCTGTATATGCAAAGGAAAAACTGGAAATAAGTACATCAAAACAATAGTAGTGATTATATCTTGATGATAAAATTATGTATTATTTTAATTTTTGTGTTTTCCAAAATCCCTGTAATGAACATGAATTATTTTATATTTTTTAATGTATTTTTTAAAAAATCAGTAAGGACACTTTGACTCTCTTTCTTTTAAGGGAGGCTAGAATGAGAAGTCCTATAAAATCCCTTATTTCATTCACACAGTATACATTTCATTGCCTACCTGCTTTGTAGCAAATACAGAGCCAGCTCTGACATCAAGAGTTAATCTTTGCCCTCAAGCAATTCAGTCAAGAGAGGAGAGAGACCTAAAGACAGTTTCCATCCACCATAATAGGCAGCTCCCTCGGGTGCCATGTGAACATAGAAGGGAACCTGAGACTGTGGAAATAAGGGAAGGCTGTTCTGTGTGGCAGAACCACGTGGGAAAAGTGGATAGTAGGGAAAGAAGAGCAGGTTTAGGAAAAAGGTAATAAATTCAGCTATGGATATATTGAATTAGAGCCACCTACAGGAAGTATAAGGGGAGATGGCCTTTAGACAATTGGGTATAGGAATCTAGATCTTAGGAAAGGCATATGGGGTGGGGATAGAGATTGGTGGATCATCAGTAAACAGTTACTGGTTGAAATCTTGAGTACAGGTGAGATCTCCCAGCCATAGTTGTAAAGCAAGGAGAGAATGGGGCCAAGGACAAAACTCTGGACAGCCGCCAGCAAATAAAAAGATGGGACACCTGATGGAGAGTGAGAAGGAGCTGAGAGTTAGGAAGAAAATAAATGCCGGCTGTGGCATAGGAAAAAGAAAATAATCTCAATCCAAGGTTCATCGTTGAGGATTTTCTAAATAGCCTTTTAGTAACAGCTTATATTCTTGGGAATTGTATTTATTTATCCCCTGGGAAAATTGTTAATTAAATATATTTGCAAAATTACTGGTACAATGGCTGCTTTACCAACCTACTCTTTATGGATATAAAAATGCACACTTAGTGTAAACTGTATTTTCCCAGCAGCAAGCAGTTTAGTGTAACATTAGTAGCTCCAGGAAATTTGTTTTCATTGCTATGTAGTACGTATGGCCACATTATAATTTATTGATTCATTCTTCTATTGATGGACATTTGGGGGCTTTGAAGAGCAGTGTTGTGTGAGCATCATATGTCCCTCCTGTACCTCAGCAGTTTCTCTAGCACAGCAGTTTTCATTCAGAATGTGGCTCACAGACCCTGGGGAGTCCCAAAGACCCTTCGTAAGGGGTCTGAGAGATCAAAACTGTGTTCATAATAATACCAAGACACATTTTGCCTGTTTCACCATGTCAACATTTGCACTGATGGTGCAAAAGAAATGGTGGGTACAACTGCCGGCGCCTGGGCACAAGTCAAGGCAGGGGCACCAGGCTGCCAGTAGTCATTGTGTTCTCCACCCCCAAGCACTGGCAGTAGAAACAACCAGAAACAAAGCTAATTTCACTTCATGTCCTTGATGAAGCAATAAGTAGTATTAATTTTATTAAACCATGACCCTTGAATACACGTCTCTTTGGTATTTTTAATACCCTCCGTGGTAACACAGGAAGCGTGCATAAAGCCCTTCTGCTGCATGCCAGAATGCAAAGGTTGTCCTCAGGACCAGTGCTTACCTTGGGCGTTTCTAACTAGCCACTTTTCATAATGGAACATCATTTCTACTTGAAAGAATCACTGACAGACAACTATGGTTATCTAGACTTGGATATTTGACAGACATTTTCTCAAAAATGAGTGAAGTGACCCTGGCACTTTAAGAAAAACAACTGATGATATTTGTTGCCAGTGATAAAATCCAGGCTTCCAAGAAAATTAGGCTTTTGAAAAATTTGTATTGGCTATCATGTTAAATTCCATCTGTCAAAACAAACCAAAAAAAAAAAAAAAACTTACTGGGGTTTCACTGGGTTTGTACTGATTTTTTTTTTTTTTAAAGACGATCGGTAATGGGATCTTAACCCTCGACTTGGTGTCAGCACCACACTCTCCCAAGTGAGCCACGGGCCTACCCTTGTTCTGATTCTTTAAATCAGTTTGGGGAGAATAGTCATCTTTAAAATTGAGCCTTCCAACCTATGACCGTAATATAATCTGTTTCATTTGTTTAGGTCTTCTG